TCCTGCAGGACCTATGCATGCCCAAGTCACAGGTCTCTACACAAGCCAGGTGCAGGCAAAGGGGCCATAAAATTTTCAAAAGCAACATTCCATGGGAGCTATTAATGCATCTTGTGGTTTCTAAGAATAGGAACAGGCTGCAGACAGCTTGGTGGCACTCCTTCAATCAGCCAGCTTCGGCATTTCCATGTCAGAACTCAGAAAGCCCAGAATTTTTGCATGAGTGGAAAGCAAATCTCAAGTCAGGTTGGAGATGTCTGTGCCAGGGGTGTGCCAACCAAGCTACTATTTAAATGAGCATACGTGGTCTGGGCCCTGTGCAGCCCCAGCCTGGCACCTGCTAGAGATCGAGGCCTCCACCACAGGAGGGATCCACCCTCCCCTCCATTGCCTGCCATTCTAGAATCATCTTTTGGTGACCACAGCAGAACCATTAAAGAGAAGTCCAGGTCCTCTAGCTGCCTGCAGCTAAATGCATCTGCTTATAGTCTGCTGGAGGCTGAACCTGGGGCGAGGGGAGCAGGATAAAGTGCGGGGGGGGGGCGAGGATGACCTCCATGGTGAAAATCAGCTCTGAGAGCACCCTGTTCACACAGCCTTCTCCACATGGGGCATTGGCAGGGCATCTTCAGGGCAGGGCCGTAACCAGAGGAGAGGGGTCTTCAACATCCCCAGTCAGGCCAAGCCAGGAGGTACACAAACAAGGTGTTTACGGCTGTCAAAGTATGCTGGGGTCTGTGCCTCAGTGGGGCCTCAAAAGTAGCCACAAGCAGGGACTCACAAGCTCCGTATCCACAGCATGAGGGCTGGGTGCCAGCCCCCCAGCATGGTCCAGCTGGCTGGCCCCACCTCCACCTTCAAGAAAGACCCTCCTCGTGGATGGAGACCGGGAGGAATCTTGGAATCTCACTTTGTCAGGCTCTGCTATTGACTTTGCTCTGTCCCGGCAAAGCCCCTTGACAGGAGGACTGATGTTAATGGTTTCTAAGTAGAACAAGGCTCAGAACATACTTTGCTTGAGAAGAAGTGACAACATACTTTCTGTGGGAGTAGAACTTTAAATACAAGACCACACAAATGGTGGGTTTTATGCAGACCCAGTGTTCAGCTGCATTTCAAGTACAACGTTTCCTCCTAGAATGGATTGGCTGACAGAGCAGTGTGTAGGCATTTCAAGGCACCAGAGAATACAGATGAAGACAACAAACCTTCCTAAAACAGAACAGACTTGCTAAAATTCTTCTGGAGGGAATCATTTCACATTCAGCCTAAAGTTTTCTATGCAAAGAACATTTAACAAACTGAGTCCTAGAGGGGAATTTATGCAGAGATTAAAATGCAAATGAGCACACATGAGTAAATAAAATTAGGCATCAGTATCTCACCAACTCTTCTCAGCTCTGGGCCACTTGAGAGCCTGGTTTTCTGGATAGAGGCCGAGTGTCACCACTGAGGGTTAGGGCCCTGGTTCAGGGTCTTTTCAGAGACCTCGCCCCTGGCCCACTGCTAGACACAGGTCCTCCGCCTGCACATGGTACACAGGAGCCCTTGGCTCTGAGAGAACCAGCCAGAACCCCCACACCCTGAGAAAGGAAGCCCCAGCTCAGGGTGACCAAAGGCTGCTTGCTTGGGGAGACCTCCTACCTGCCTGCAGCAGGCTCCAGATGTATATAGCGGCATAATACTGTGACTTAGTCTTCGTCCACAGCAGAGACCCATAGGAAAGAACTCCTGAGGGTTGGTCGACCTCCAAATTAGACCTCATTGCTGCCACCAAACCTGCCTTCTGAGGGTCTTTAGGGGATCTGGGTTCCAATTAACCCCTGCTTTGCTGAGGTAGCTATCCTGTCCACACCTGCTCTTGGTTGCTGAAACCTGACCTCTGGAAAGGGAGGCATGAACTCTTGGCTCTGGCCGTAGAGGCTGTGTGCGCCAGATGGCTGATACAGGCAGTGACACATCCCCATCCAAGAGTGCCTATTAGGAGATAAGCATGCTTTGCCTCTGTGAAGATCCGGATAGACTTTCCCCTTTGTATCCACATCTGCCTCCAAATCTAGGGCCGGACTCTTGCATCACCTCCTCTGACCCCAGATGGTCTGGGGAGTTGAACTTCAGTCTTTCATTTTTAGTGGAAATGGTTTCTGCTTAAAGAAAGGGCAGTTGCTAGTGATACAGGCAGCAGGTTGATCATAGACACAGGGAAATAAAGAAACTGGAAGCTTCTGCCAGGGATTGGTGTGTGGGGCTGGTCCCAGGGTCCAAGTAGAGTCTGCAGGTGATGGCAGGAGGAAGAGCCAAGGGTCCCCCGGGGTGGACTGCAGATTGACGTGGAGCCAGCAGGCCTGATGCTGGGCGAGGTCGCACACTGGCAGGTCAGGCTGGCAGGTGCATCCAAGACTGTCAAGGGGCAGGGACAGGGCAGCAACTGGGAGGTGGGGGCCTGGCCATCGTGCCAGTGAATCAGAGGCAGCACTGTAACTGCTCCAGGTATTCCACAGAAGGGATCAGGGGCTTCTGGGGGTCGACTCTTTGCTTTCTAGGTGCCTGTATTTGAGCATGGGGTGGGGGGTATTTTCCTAGAGTACATGGGCAGTGGAAAATGGTGGGAGGTGCAAGCAGTGAGCAGGGGCTGGGGGTAAGGTGGAGGATCATACAGAGCCGAGGGCTAGCACACGGGAGGCAGAGCCACTAAGGGAATCCTCTGCCAGGCCGTGCCCCCATGACCAGGCTGTTGCTGGATCCACTGTAGGCCTGAAGGAGACACAGGAGGAACATCTATGGAAAATCGGCCTGAGGGGAGTCAAATCATTCACTCATTGTGTATCCCTTGTTGGGTTTGATTAACTTAAACGCTTGCAATGTCTGATTAGCATCTCTCCTACAACAAGCAAACCAAGCCAGCCAGGAGCAAGCTGCTCACAGCTAGCAGTGTGTAGGCCTGCGGGCCCTGTCTGTGTCCTCATTCTGGGGGTGCTGAGTGACCCTGGCTGGCTTAGTGTCCCAGCTTGAGGCTACCGCACCTCTACCTCCCCACCCCGCACTGTGAGACAGGGCACAGGGTATCTTTCTGGTATAGTTTTGGAAAGAAAATTCCCGGAGGACATCAAGTAGCAAGGAGAAAAGAGTGTGTGGAGTTCAGCCAGAATGGCTTTGAGAAATCGCTCCAACAAGAAGAGACTCATCTGTCCCTCAGTGCTCTATCCCTCTGTCCCCGGCCACCACCCTGTTGCAGTCCTGCACTTGCGACTTTTCCTTCCCAGATCCCTTTGTTGTTCCTGCCCCTCCCTGGCTCACCTTGAGGGGCAGAACCTTCCTGCCCTCTCTCCTCTCTTGGTTGATCCTTCTCAGGTCACCTGTCTCCAAGTGACTCCTCATCTCTGACCCCAAGATTTGTCACATAGCTCTACAAATCCATCATTCCTCTCTCCCACCTCCTCAGTGTCAGCTCAGCCTCCAGGGTAGCCCTCGGGCCCTGGGCCTCCACCCCACCTCGCCTCCTTTCACAGCCTGTGATGTTGCCTTCTGGTACCCACTCCCTGGCCCGGCCCAGTTCAGGCCACGCCTTCTGCCACTCAACACTGCAGCCACCATCCCCTGCGGTCCCCGTGACTAGCCCCCGCCTCTGACCCACACAGCAGCTGGTAGGATCTTTCTGAACTAGGTATTGGACCATGTTGCTTCCCTGTTAAACTCTTCAGTGGCTCCTGCTGACCCCAGGGAGATGCACAAGCACCAGGATGGGGACAGCAGCATGAACCCAGCAGCCTAACTGTGCTGCATCCCCTTCTGTTTCTGGAGTCCCAGGAGCCCCCAAGGGGTACCTTCTAGGCCTGCCTGCATTTGCTGGGGCTGTTCACTCATCTGTGTAAAGTTATGTTGGCAGAGAAACTCTGGGTTCAGATGTCATAGTGATGGTACCTTCACCAAACCCCAGTCATTCCCCTACTCCGTGAACCCAGGGATAACTAGGGGACCTTTGACCTGGCTCTCTTGACAGCTGGTGGTTCTGTGCACTGATTACATGCGTTTGTAGTCTGCCCACCAGAAAGGTGACTGGGCCTTCGCACCCTCAGACCTTCCAAGCTAGGGACAGAACTGAGAAAGCACTGTCAATAAATTCCAGACCCTCAAAGCAGAAGGAGGGAGGGCCCTAAGTGTGTGACCCTGTGAGGTGACTCTGCGGGACTGGAGACCCTCCCATGCAATGCACCTCCAAGGCTGGGAATGCATTTTCTAACCTTGAGGCCTGTGTTCCCAGCATGCACTCAGTATTGTGTTCACCTGCTCCTAGCTGTGTGTTGAGTGCAGAGTCGGCAAGATAATAGGAATCTCTGATGATGGACAAGAGTTAGCCTCGCATACCTGCAGACCTGGAGTCCAGCCAGGGAGGCTTCAGCGATCCAGCTCAGCTGGGGGCAACCGCAGCTGCTCTGCACCCTCACCTCCTTCCCTTCTGTTCTGTTTCTCTGTGAGGTGGGGACACAGCTCCAAGCCAGTGTTCCTGGTTTCACTTTAGATAAACTTGAAAGCTCTGGTACATATCGCCCGAAGTGCCTCCTACCAATTCACCTATTGTTTGAGAGTGTCTGTTTCATAGCATGCCTATCAGCTCTGGGTTTTAGTATTAAAATTAGCTAACTATTAGTTAATTAGTAGTGTGTGGTGATATCTTGTTGCATTTCCCAAGATATTAAAATTGTATTCCTTCGCTTTTGTAAAACGCTGCTTCAATCCTTTTCTTATGTGTTCAAGGAATTTGTATTTTCTCCACGTCCCCTCCTCTGGCATGTACTCTCCCCTTGAGCTCCCCTGCAGGATCCGACCAGCCAGGACCAGCCGGTCTGCCCCAGATTGCTTAACTCAAAGCTATGGTTTCAAACTTTTAAACCAAGTAGCAGCACCTTAAATGGTTTCACACAGCACATTTTATATAAAACACTAATAAGTAGCCTATGAAGGTGGCACTCCCAACCCCCTGCTAGAAACCCTTATCTTACCTGAGAGGCCGCTGGGACCTTCTTGATTTTTGTCTGAAGAGGGGGTGTCACCATGGAGTCAGGGCCTGAAAGGAGATGAACAGTTCACAAGGTGCCAGGAACTCAGCAGACAGCCACTGTGCAGCCAGGTACAAAGACCAAGGGGCCCCACCTGCCACAGGTACTGCCACACCCTCCACTCCTCCTGGGACAGGGTGTGGGCCCTGCAGTCCCTGCAGATGAAGTGCAGCTAGAGGTAGTGCAGGTGGGAGGTTTGAGTGACCAATCAGGACAGGTGTGGAGGGCAGGAGAGGTGACAGGTGGGGAGTACTCTCTAAGTGGGAGGGATGAGACCTCCACGTGGACATCTGAACTCAGGCCAGGCCCAGGCGGGATGTGAGGGTTGTGGGGGCGGGGAGAGGTGAATTCAGAGCTCTTGCCAGCGGCCCAGCCCGGGTTTGATCTGATAGGTGAAGCTAGAACAATTAGAGCTTTCCCTGGGAGCTTTGTGTTATCTCAGCCTTGCGAGAAACCTGGGTTGGAGAGCTGAACCCAGAAGCAGCAAGCCGGACTGCGCTCACCGATTTGGGGGTGGGTGGAGGCAAGAGAAAGCCTCACTGGAAGGAAAAACTAGAAAAATTGAGCAACAGATCAGGAAGCCAGTAAACAGACTCGTGGAGGGACACTCAGCGGGAACACATCGCGACCCCAAAGGGGACTTCAGGTGGGTTTGGGGGACGGCACCTGTGTGGACGCGGGACACAGGCGCCTCCTTTTGGACCCTGGCTCCGCACATCCCTTGCAGACCCTGCGGGAGGATCCGCGGCCAAGCCACCGCCCGGAGGGAGCCGCTCTCTGGCCCCGCCCCCGCTCGCCACGCCCCCGCCCCAGGCGCTGTCCGTGCGCTTTCGTCCCACTTCCCAGCCCCAGGATCCGCCCCTGGCTTTCTAGTTGAATCCTTGACCGCAGGCCCCGCCTCCAGACTCAGGCCCAGGAAGTTCTGACCCCGCCAGCGCGAGGCCCTTGGCTTGCCATCAGCGCTGGCCAAGTCTGCTGCCCCACCCCAAACCCTCCCACCACCCCACATCCTGAGCAGGCAATCTTATTCCCCAGGCTTCCACGGGACCAATTCCTGCCCTTTACCTACACTATAGGGTCAGGCCCTCTGTCCCCAAGCCAGGGATGTTTCAGAGGGCTGGCAGGAAGGTCACTTTAGCCGACTGTCTCCCCCTCCCCTTAGGTGTCCTCATAAGAAGCTGCAGTGACACCTGAAGCTGCAGTGACACCTGGTGTGCCGTCTGTGAGCTGAACCGTCTTGGGCAAGGTATTTAACCTCCGAATCCCTCCTAATGTCCCCTTCCCTATAACACTAGGGGTCACTCCAGCATCTGAGATGACTCCAAATCAGCTCTTCCAAATGAGCACTAGTACTTGATGTTGCCAAGGTCAGGGTGGGAAGAAGGAAGCCTGAGCCCCTGGGACCTCAGGCTACACGAGGTGGTGACCTGTGTCCCACTGGGGCCCACTGGGTCCACTCGCACCCCCTGGCTTGTTTCTTCTGACTGAAGCCCCTACAGTCTGGGGAGTCCAGCCTGTGGGGAAGTCAGAGGACGATCTGCTTTCCTGGTTCAGGGGAGGCCTGCTACCTCACCCTTGACAGACTGATAACCTGCATGCACCTCTGTTCTTTTCCCTCTTCCTGGCTGACCTGAAGTTAGAAGGCCAGGTCTGGAAGTGGACATGAAAGAGGCAAGCCTTCCTGAGCCGTCCCAGCCTCTCTCAGCTCCTACTGCCCTGTCTCCTGTCTCTCAGTGGGGAAGAGCGCTCACCTCATTTTTCAAAGAGGAGTTGGGAGGGGGTTTTAGTCACCAAGTGGTCTCCCACCAGCTGCACAGTCTTTCTCCCTCACCAAGCTTCTGAAAAATCCCCAGAATGTTTTTTTTCCCCAAAGTACAGTTAAATGACAGGAACTGGCTGTTTAGGGAGGGGCTCCTGAGGGGAAGTGGGATCTCCACTACTGCGAATTGACAGGATCTTTTCTTTCCTCAAAAGGAAAGAAAAACATGTCAGGTCATTGATATTCTGAGCCAGACCTTGTTTTGAAATACGCGCTCCTCTGTCCCTTCATAAAGTACAGCCTTTCTCCCTCTTTGAAAATAAAATCACATCAAGCCAGGGGTTAGAAATGGGAAAAATTCAATCAGCGCCTCACTCCGCCAGCTACACGTCTCAGTGAACTCCCAGCGCAGAATCAGCTCCCGCCACAACCCAGCTCAGCATCCTTGCTCAAAACGCACCGATAGGAAATGGGGAAACAGAAGGACCTTTCACCCCTGAGTGAGCGGGCCTGCAGCGTAGCGCTCCGAGCTCCGGAAGCTGGATGTCTGGGCTGCTGCTCTTCCAGTTCCAGAAGCCAGGGTGTCTGGGTCCAGGGAAGTTGAGTTCCAGCCTCTTGCTTAAATAGGCAGTGGCAGCCGTGCAGAGCGGCCGGGGCGGGGGAGGGCATGGAAAGTGGGCCGTTTCCCCAGCACAGCAGGGCAGTGTCCTCTGAGCCAGCAGAGCCAGCGGTGGTCGTAAGCACACGCTTGTCCACCAGAGGCCCCAAGACCGCAGACCAACACCTGGGATGACCCCTGATGGACATGTGGCGCCAAGTGAGGCCACATTCCGGGAGGCATGGAGCTTGGGCTGGATTCCTGGATGCCGGCACCTCCTGAGACACAAACTGGGCAGCAAAGCCCGCTGTGGACTTGGCTAGAACTGCTCCCTAGGGCAGTAAGGAGTGGCCGCAGGCAGGGCATCTCTCCAAGCCTCAGTTTCTACTTTCTTGAAACTAGGATAATAAGGCCAACTTCATAGGTCCAGAAATAATGTTTGCAAAGGGCCTGGTCCCGGGAGATTGGTTTATTTATCCACATGGCGAGGGGCCTTCAGTGAGGCTGAAGCTAGGGGCCTTCAGTGAGGCTCAAGCCCAGACAGGTCCGCTAATGTGTGCAAAGTCACAGAGAACCTCCAGCTGAGTGTCAGCAGCAGACTTCATGCAGATCTAGGCTGGTCTGGGTTGGCAGAAGACTCTTGGGGGGAGGGTGTGGGGCACTGCTGGCCTCTGGTGACAGAGTTGCCCTTAGACCCAAGCACCAAGGCAAGGGATGAGATGGGACTGGACAGCATGCGTCGATGGTCTGAGACCACAGGGCGTGCACAAGTACCCCAGAGTAAGTGCTAGGGATGGTTGGTAAGAGGAGCTTCCCCTGAGGTCTCTATGGAGGTCAGGACCAGAGGAGAGCAAGGGTCTTACCTGACTAGTTCCTCTTGCTCTGCCATCAAGGGAGCAGTGTCCCCTGCCTCAACGAACAGAGTTTAGGATATCAGCTAACGGGAGCTGAGACAAAACAGTGGTTCTTTTGTCACTATACTTGTAAAAAAAAAAAAAAAAGAGTACAAGAAAATCTGCAAATAAGTGTTACATGCCAGTTCATATTGGGGAAAGTATGCATATTCATTCAGTCTGACTGGCAAAATGTTATTTCCTTATTTCCCCCAAAGAATCTCCAGACCGGAGAACCTGGATCTCTGTAGCGAGAACAAGAAAATTCAACTTGCCATAAGTCCCCCGGAAGGCAAAGCTGAAGTTATGGTAACACATAAAACCCATTTGTCTGCCCATCACTCATTTGTGTGTGTGTGTGTATTGTGTGCCTGACACTCTTCCAGGTTTTCTTTATCTTTTTCCACTGGTCTGCTCTAATCCCTGCCTCAGCTACGAGGGGCATGTGTACAAAGAGCATGGACTGCAACGTGGGTTCAACTCAGTTCTGGGAAGTGTTGGGCCTTTGCTTAGCCTTTCTGAATCTAGGGATTTTTATCAGTCTACAGAGTTGTTTGGAGAATTAGATGAAATGATATTGGTAAAGACCCTAATAGGAGTTCATTGATTAGTTGTCCATTTTGGAAAGATAACTCCATGGGGAGTGTTGAGGGGAGACAAGGGGGGAGCTGCTACAGTAGCTGAAGGAGATGGCAGAGCAAGGCAGTGGGACGAGAGAGGGTCACACATCTGGGGGATATCTCACAGGGCAGAATAGTGTCATGGACTGAATATTTGTGCCCCTACCTTCAAATTCAGCTGTTGCTGAACTCACAGCATGGCTATATTTAGAGATGAGGCCTATTAGGAAATAATTAAGGTTAGTGTCCTTATTACAAGAAACCACAGAACCCCTCTGTAACTCCCCGCTTCCCCACACAAAGGCAAAGCTAAGCGATGACTGCAAGCCAGCAGGACAGATCTCATCAGAAACGGAATCAACCTGAACCTTGATCTTGGACAGCTAGCCTTCAGAGCAGTGAGGAAATCTGTTTCTGTTATTTAGTCACTTGCTGTGATTTTTTTTTTTTTCTTTAATGGCAGCTATAGCAAACGAATACAAATGGATGAGATTGAGGAGTGTCTGGGGAACATGGAAAAGGACTAGAATGAATTCAGAGGTGTCTACCTCAGGCAACTGGGCACTGAAGTCACTTGCTGGTTTGAAGTGGAGTGGGTGAAGGTGAAGGCAGGGCTGTGGTGTGGAGTGGCGTTTACATGGACGTGACCATGTGGCGGTAGAATATTCAGACCCAGAACTCAGAGGGGAGGTCTGGCTGAAACAGGGTTTGGGAATGATGAGTGGGGAAATGCTGGGAATGGTGACATTTTAATAGATCATGTACTCTTTCTCTTATTCTTATTTTTAAAGAGTTATTTATATATACAAGAACTGGGGTACAGGCCAGAGTTGGGGGCCAGAATCAGAGCAGAGTGGGGAGCAGAACAGGCAGATCGATGAAGTACACTGCTGAGGGGAGCAGCGGGGAGACAGGAGAGGTCTGCTGTGCCATGTGGTCAGCTCCCTGGCTGGGGAGTGAGCTGAGCCATAGTGGTGACAGCTTTGAGACTTAGCCCCTGGACCACCATTTGTGATGTCAGTTCTCTTGCCACTGTTATCTGATTTCAAGGGAATGGATAGCCCTCCACTTCAGCCTGCCAGACTACATAGTCAAAGTTTTAACTAGCAAATGCTTTATTTCTTTCCATCTATCCAGG